CTAATACTGCTCCGCTCAGAAATAAACTTAGCATAAACCTGTCTAGGCCAGACACCTGTACCTGGGCAGTCAAAAACTGTCTGCAGGGTCTCCAGCTCCCCAGCAACAACTCAGAACCTTTTCACCTATAGCCGCTTTCCAGGTATTGAAGCTTTTATGTTCCATGGATAAATGGGCACGGGGGAGGGATATGAAGAGGTGTGCAGTGCTGCCCAGAGGCAGAAATGCTGATGTAGGCTGGTGGTGCAAGGCCTCAGTGTTCAGTCTCCCCATTGCAGGCCTGCCTTTAACACTCTAGTCCCAGCACTCACCATAGCTCCAGGGCTTGTGTCTCCTGTAATCTATCCCTCTGTTTGTGAAAAGCATTTCATGCTGTGTCAGTCAAGACCAGAACTTTATAATCCTCCTGGTAGTTAGGGAAATAACAGGCCTGCTGGGATTCTGGTGCAAATCCAAGAGATTTTCAGAGTTGAACTTGCTGAGCCCCCTGAGTCCTGGGCCAGGCAGCTCTGGGACTTGGAACCATCAGGAAGTAAGTACATCTTAATAATTTTTCACAGAGGGCACCAGGAGAATACCAAAATGCCCTGTACTGAGCACCTGCTCTTCCCAAAGAGTCAGCCCCAATGAATTTTCTGGTGACAAATGGAAGCAGGTGGGACCAAGAGGATGGTTAGAGACTGGAATACACTCTGTCCCTCTGGAGCAATAGAGGTAGTGAGGCATTTCCAGTTCTCAAGAGAATGAGCCTATGCTCTTTTCAAATTCTGCCAAAGAGAAATCAGGCAACATAGCCAAAGAGGTGTGCATGAGTGCTTTAAACATGGGGAGCGTGTCAGAGAGGAGAGAAGTTCTCTAACTTTATGCCTATACCTAGGGGGTGAAGGTGGTTGAAAATAAACCTATAAGGCTGAAGTAATATCTTTCTCTCTCTCTCTCTCTCTCTCTCTCTCTCTCTCTCTCTCTCTCTCTCTCTCTCTCCCAGTAGTAACCCTTGGGGATCATCCATCAAGCCTGATGCAGTCGAAAAGCTGTGAGCACTGACTGTCGTTCTAGTGAGCACTAGATCTGTCACTTATCAACTGTGATAATAAGCAAATTACTTTAACTCCTTGAACCTTTTATGCTTCGCTTATAAACTGGGAATAATGGGTATTTCATGGGATCATTGTTATAATCACATTAGAATATGAAGTTACTCAGAAAAGGACTTGAACATCATAGAATCTCTGCATGTGCTCCCTTTCCTTGCCAACAGGGGACTGAAAACAGGCTTCAGTAGTCTGTCTGGACCCCTCTACATTGCCCATCCACATGTCACACTTCCCCCACCACTCATAGTCAGAGTTTGGGGTTTTTACATAAACTTTTTATTTGGAAATAAATTTAGATTTACAGAACAGTTTCAAAAATAGCATAAAAAGTTTCTGTATATCTTTCAACCAATGTCCTTAATGTTAATATAAACATGATATGTTTGTCAAAACTAAGGAATCACTAATGGTACATCACTACTAACTACAGTCCAGATTTTATTTGGAGTTCACCACCAGTGAACTCCACTAATTTTTCCACTAGTGTTTGTTTTCCATTCCAAGATCCAATGCAGGGTACCACATCAGCTCTGCTTAGTCTCTTTCATGACCTTGAGAGTCTTAAAAAATATTGGTCAGTTTTTTGTAGAAGGTCAGAGCTTTTAATTCACTAACCTCAGCCATCGCCTCTTCCCTTCTCTCCAGCGTGGAGAGTAGAAACAACGGAGAGGCAATAAGCTACACTGCAGGGTGTCCTGAGTCCTCTTTATTCTGCTGCAGGTCCCAGTGTGTCCTGCAGATCAGAGAACAGGACATTGCAAGGTTCCATCTGATTGAGCCCGTCAGCTGCAATTCCTGAGGTTTTCCAGATGATTCTTCCAACCAGGAGGCCAATGTTCGTCCTGCTTGGGCTGCACGCCAGTGTAAGCCTCCTCATGCACAACACTTTTTTTTTATTCATTGACATTTTAGAAATTTTTAAAAGTTTTTATCATGCTCCAGGCTTTAAAGGTGGAGATAATTTTTAATGGATTTCTGTGTTTTGTTGAAATACTGACATCTCTTTGAGAAAATTTTTTCTTTAGTTTTAGCATCTCATTGGGATGCTTCCTTTGCCTTGCAACTAATAAATATAGCTAATGGCTGGTCGTATCTCAAATACGAGATGGGAGAGCAAATGACCAATGGAAGGGTGAAACCAAAGACCAGTTTTATTTGCTCATGAGACTGCTCCCCATTCGATTCACCCTAAAATCTATATTATCCAATAGTCTTTAAAAATAGTTTTTAAAACTGGAGTTCCTTTATTCACTGTGCTTTACCCAGAGATTAATCAGGCACCAATTCTATCTTCCAGTAGCTTTTGCCTCTACAAGAAAGTTTTCTTTCCATCCTCCAACACAGGGCTCAGCCCTATTTGGAGGGTGTAGTGAGGAAGGGAGAAGCCCTTTATCAGAGTAAGCAAACCTGGATCTAATAAATTAGAATTTGCATTTATCCCCTGGTTCTTTGGAACTTCTTAAGCCACCAAAGAAATAGGCAGAGGATAGGGTTTCTATACTAGGTGGAATGACTTCTCCATATTGCCAAGGAGAACATGGGTTGCTGTCACATCATAGGGACAAGCAGACTATGCCTAAAAACCTAAAATATACATCAGAGAGCTTCCTCATTATCATTGCCTGATAACAAGGGCCAGTGTGTTAAAGACAAGAACATTAAGGACACTGATCCTTCAAAAATAAAGATTTGGGTCACATCACCAGGAAAAGGAAGACTGGAGTACTAAGATATTAGCAGTGAGTGAGGGGAATTTAGAATGAGTGGCAACATTGGTCTTATACCCAGTTACCAAGGTCGGGAATGTTACAGCTACGAATATGTTATGTTCATTTATCTGTGTGCATATTATTGGACATGTAACAAAGCAATCCTATCATGTATGCATTGATATCCTAATTTAATAGATTAGTCGACTGAAGCTCAGAGAGATAGCACATAACTAGTAAATAGCAGGGTTAACATTGAATCCATGTCTGCCCTATCATGAGACCTCTGATTTTCTACCCCTCCTGACAGTGGCTTACCTAGTGCCTGCAGGAAACAACAAAGATCTGCAGTGATGTGAAGTAGAGTGTCTGCAAATTCACATACAGGTCTCTTCCTCCTTTGTTTTTGTGTTGTTTTTTTTGGGGGGGGGGGTCACGTTTTTACTTTGTTTTCTGGGATTATGTTCCATAAATCAAATCTGAGTACATTGGCGCGATTTGGACATTAGGTGTTGCCTGATGTAAATTCACTAAGCAAATTCTCTTGAAACTAGATTGGAAATTTCAAAGAAGAACAAAATGTTTTTAGGTTTGCTGATCTATAGAAAATAGAAAGCAAAGTTCAAAGGACATTTTTACTTAAATGATATAGGAAATGAAAAAGAAAAAACACAGAATGTCTGAGTTGGAAGGGATTGAGAATTCTCTAGCCTCCCCCACGTTCCTCTTTTCTCCTTCCTCTTTAGTCTTGTAACCACAACTCTACCAAGAGCCCCTACAGCCTCTGCTTGAACAGACAGGGCAACCTATAGCTCTGGGCTGTCACTAAGAGAGGATCTTCCCTGGACCTTTAACCTGGCGCACCTACCCTTACTATGTCACTTCAAGCAAGTCACTTCACTACCTTTGGCCGCAGGGGCCTCTCCTATAATAAGAGTTTAATAACCACGAAATTGTTGTGTGGCTAAAATACTACAACCTGACATAGCAGCACTATTCACAATAGTCAAAATTGGAAGCCACCCAAGTATCCATCCACAGATGAATAGATAAACAAATGTATAAACATACAATAGAAATTATTCAGCCTTAAAAAGGAAAAAAGCTCTGGCCAGTGTTGCTCAGTAGTTACTGCTTCAGCCCACACTTCGGCGTGTCGCAGGTTCAATTCCCAGTGGAGGGCACATACCTGGGTTACAGGTTGGATCCTCTGGTTGGAGTCATGAGGAAGGCAACCAATCTATTTTTCTCTCACAATGGATATTTCTCCCCCCCACCCCCTTCCACTCTAAAAATCAATAGAAAAATACCCTCAGGTGAGGATTAAGAGGAAAAAAATCCTGTGACATGCTACAATGTGGATGAACCATGAGATCATTATGCTAAGTGAAATAAGTCACACAAAAGGACAGATACTGTATGATTCCACATATATGAAAGATGCCTAGAGTAGTCAAATTCAAAGACAGAAAGTAGAATGATGGTTCAGGGGAGCGGGCAATGAATGGGCAATCATTGTTTGATGGGGACAGAGTTTCCTTTTTGCAAGATGAAAAAAGTTTCGTGGATGGGTGGTGGTGAGGGTTGCACCACTATGAGTGTATTTAATGCCACTGAACTATATACCTAAAAATAGTTAAGGTAAATTTTACGTTATGGGTATTTTAGCATAATTTTTAAAATAAAAATAATGATTAATAACCTAAGAAAATCCCTAGCTCCGTGACAAGAACACAGTCGGCGCTCAGTAACTGTCAGTGCCGTTCTTACCACTCCCTGGTGTGACACACGCCTTGGGGTCATGCGACATAAATCTCTTAGACCCTGCGGTTGAAAGAAGAGCAAGTCTCTGGAAAAGGAACTGCCCCAGAGAGGAGGCAGCGGGTGCTCTGCTAGCCATCCAGACCTCCTTCGGGGCAGCCCCCACACGTGGGCACAGGTGCCGTCCATCTAGTAGAGATATGTCGCTGTCTTAGGCCAGAAGCACACTTGAGAGAGCACAAGGCAAGGAGCAGGTGCCGCGGAGCTTTCACTCGGACCCCGCCTCCAAAAGCGCCAGCCGGGGCAACAGCCTCTGAGGCGGTGCCGTGGGGTCCCCGCCTCCTCCCCGCCCGCCCCGCCCAGTTTCCTCTCCTCCCCCGGCGCCGCCCAGTGCCTCCGCCCAGTGCCTCCGCGCGGCCCGCCTCCCTGGCAGACTAGCCGCTTACAGGAAATCGAAAGTGAAATAGAAAGCCGGCTGCCACCCCTGAGTCTCCAAAAGAGGTGAGTAGATCAGGCTAGGCCGAGGTACCCCAGCCCACCCAGCTCTGAGGTCCCCCTCCCACCCCTACGGCCTGGGTCGGTGTCTTCCTGCGAGGAGTCCGGGCTGTAAAAGTGGCTTCCAGGTCACCTGGAAGGAGCTAGGGCTGCCCTGCTGCTGGCACCCGAGCTGGCACCCGGGGCGGCTGAAGCTGAGAAAAACCGAACCCTCGCGGGGTAGAGGAGCGCGCGGGGGGGGGGGGGGGGTCTGCTCCCTTGCGGTGAAAGGTAGAGGGTCCAGTTCCCCGTGAGAGTTCTCTCTCCGTCTCTCCGTCTCCCCCTCTCACTCTCTCTCCCTGAAACAAAAAAGTACCCCTCTGGAGGAGAGAGGGACAGGGTTGTTTAAGATATTAGAAATGTATGGGTCTAGGCCCTGGAGGAAATTGGACAGCTGTCAGATTCAGAGTAGAAGAGTCCAAGGAGTGCTGAGCACATACACTTGTATGTGTGTGTGTATAAACATGCATGCATATACATCCCTGGTCGGATCCCCAGTCTGGCACAGACAACCCATCAATGTTTCTTTCTCACATCGATGTTTCTCTCTCTCACTTCCCCCCTCTCTCCCTCCCACTCTATCCAAAGATAAAGACAAAAATATGTCCTCAGGTGAGGATTTTTATAAAAAGAATAAATATTATGTATATATTCATTATATGTATGTGTGTGTATATGTGTGTGTGTGTGTGTATACTGCCATTATTGAAGATTAATGAAGATATGTGCAAAGCATGTTGCACCTTCTCTGGAACATGTGAGGCTCATAGTAAATGGTCATTATTATTATTAGCTTCTCAGCAAAGAGGAGGGCTGGTGGAGATGGGAGAAAATGGGCCGGAAAAAACATGTGCACCAAGGGTTTAAGCAGAGATGGACATGATGAAAGGAACAGCCCTATCTCTGAGGTTCTGAGTAATTTTCACTGTCACTTTTGGGGACTTGGTTACCCCCTTCTGTCTGACTGGATCAGTGGATGAGACTGTGGAGGAGAAGGTCTTGTTATTCAGGTTAATGTTTTCTTTTGTTTTTCTCACACAACTTGTCTTGTCGTCTCCCCAACTTTTCTCCTCTCCCCATTAGGTCACCTCAGGATCACCACAGTGCTGCTTAATAAGAACATTCTCACTATGGCTTCAGCAAAGCCTTTGGCAATGATGTGGGAAGAGGTCACATGCCCAGTCTGCCTGGATCCCACAGTGGAGCCTGTGAGCATTGAATGTGGCCACAGCTTCTGCCGCACATGCATCTCTGAGGTCGGGAAAAGTGGGGGCAGCGTCTGTCCTGTGTGCCGGAACAAATTCCTGCTCAAGAACTTTCGGCCCAATCTCCAGCTAGCCAATATGGTGGACAACCTAAGACAAATGAGCCAAAATGCCAAGGAGAGCACAGAGGGGGATCAATGTGGGGTGCATGGAGAGAAACTTCACTTATTCTGTGAGAGAGATGGAAAGGCTCTTTGCTTGGTGTGTTCCCAATCCCGGAAACACCGTGACCACCCCATGGTCCCAATTGAGGAAGCTGCTCAGGAGTACCAGGTAAGACTTGGCACAGAGGCATGAACAGTTAGAAAGGAAAGAGGCTCCTGATGAGTGCTTTGTTCCCCAGAGCTTGGGATGGGAGAGAATCACCTATCGAGTTGAGGGACTGAAGAAAGTCTAATTGAAGATTCATCACAACCTTCTCATTCCCTAGGAGCAAGGGACATACTATGGGAAAATGCTGCAAGTATCATGTTTTCTTGTGGCTTCCTGGTTAATTAGAAATGAATAGTGCCTCCACCCCTGCAACCCTAACAGTGCGGCTCTTTCTAAGAAACATGAGGCTTTTTCCAAAGTATTCCGCCAAATTTGTAACACTCTGGTCCTCCCTCCTTCTCTGCCATCGGGCTTTCTAAGAACCCATATGATCGTCTCCCACCTCACACCACACTACCCTCCTTCTTGGTCTCACTGGGCATTAACCTGCTCTTTCTCTGCAGGAAAAGCTCCAGATGGCCTTAAGGAAACTGAGAACAAAGCAAGAGTGGACTGAGAAGTTGGAACTGGATGTTATAACGAAGAGAACATCCTGGAAGGCAAGAGTCACATCCCAAAAGGAATCTTAGATCAAAAGCCTAGGCAGGGCCCAGGGTCCTAGCCTCAAGAAAACCCTAACTGTTGCTACACCTGTTTGAGGAGTGATAGAGTCAGCGTATCTCACTCTTCAAGAACCAACAGTCCTCTAATTCCCTTGATAGAGGGAAATAAAAAGTACGGAACTCAAAGAGAGCTCCCAATCCAACACAAAGATCAAGAGACTTAGAGAGAAGGTGCCGAGGAAAAAGCCATACCCTAAAGCTTCTACACAGTTTTAGGGGATGGTCACACCAGTGCCTCAGTGTCTGGGACAGAGCTATCTCAGGAGGGATACAGCTAAGACTGTCAGGAGATGACAGAATCTTTGAGGAACAGACTAAAGGGAACCACCAAGGCATGAAGTAGAAAAACCAGTCTGACCTGGTGGTTGCTTGACTGTGTCCAGATAGCTGGTCCAAAGTAGAATGGAAAACTAAAGCTTGTTCTGCACTGGTGATATGGAGGTGGGGCAGGTCAGGGATAGAGAGGAGTAGAAGGAACTCATGGCCAATAGATACCAGAAGAGGAAGATTTGGGGCTGAAGGAGGATGAAGGATGAACCAAGCTGTGGTGGCAAAAGGGGTCATCCTGTGTCATCAGTGACTCTCTATAATCACTAGCCACAACAGGGGAAGCAAAGAATATCACAAAGACCTTTTTTCCCCAGGATTTAAGAATGATGTGGATCTTTCTTTGTGAGGTTTTTCAAGTTGGGACAGGTATTACTCTCTCAGTAACACTGAGATATGAAGGCAAAAGGACACATTTGGGTGCTAGCTGGGTGTTGAAAGACTGAAGAAAGTCTCTGGTTCCATGGGCTGATGCAGCTGTTGTTTTAGGACAGTTCATTGTGCCCCCACCAATCCCATTCCCCTCTTAATTTCAGAAGGCTCACCCAACCACTTCTCCAGCAAAGTGTGTGTGTGTGTGTGTGTGTGTGTGTGTGTGTGTGTGTTCATGCGCATGCACCCAGACAGAGCCAGAGGGTGAATCTACATAGAGTAGAAGTGGATATGGACACCTCCATTCTCCAAGTTTGGGAGATTTTGATTAAAAACCACCTCTCTCTTTCCAATAACACCAAAGGAGAATGTTGAGAGACACAAGTTGAGGATCCACACAGAGTTTGAGCAGCAGAAGAAATTCCTGGCTGAAGAGGAACAGAGGCAACTGCAAAAGCTGGAGAATGAAGAGAGGGAACAGCTGAGAATCCTGGGGGAGACAGAGACCAGGCTGGCCCAAAACTGCCAGGCCCTGCAGGAGCTGATCTCAGAGCTGGAGAGAAGAAGCCGGGGCTCAAAGCTGGAGCTGCTCCAGGTGAGATAGGGGAGAGGCTCCCACTCTGCACTCAAGGAGGGATGGAATAAAACCCAGAGCTCTCTTGGGCTGTCATCAGAGCAAACAGAAACCCAGTCCCTGGAATTCTCTTCAATAAAATGGACGAATTCAGACCCATGAGTAGTTTGCTTTCGAGGCATGGAAAGTTACAGATTTAGGAGGGAGTATTCCATGTAGCAATTTTTTTTTAATGAACATCTCTGGTAAGTGCCTGCTCTAACATGTACCAGGTTCATGACCTTGAGAAAAGTCCTTAATCTTTCAAAGTATCAGGTTTCTCAGACCTTAAGTGGATATTATAATATTACATATATCCAAGAATTTCTGTGAGGTTTAAGTAGGAGAATCTACTAAGGCTGTTTGATGAGTGGCCATGGGAAGGTTTTCATAAAAAAACTAAAAATACTAAACTGAAAATTAAGAGACAGTAGTCAAGCCCCAGCCCTGTCACCAATTATCTCTATATCTCTAGGTTAAGTCATTTTTTTCCTTTCCTAGACCTAATTTCTACATTTGCGAAACAAGGGAGAAGTGATGGACTAAATAGCAACGATTCCCCAAGCTTGAGTCATAAATGTATCATCTTTATACTTTCTGCTACTTCTATGAACTACCTAAGTGATTTGAAAATATTATTATTTTTTAAATTGTCTCACTCTTTTACCGTAATAAGTTTAGTTTAAAAGGAAATTTGTGCTAACCAATAGTAGCCAAGAATTCATGTGCTGATAGTTACTGATGTTTTTCTATTCCATAACAATAATAATAATTACTGCGTATTCTTACATAGCATATATTACATGCCAGGCATTGAATCTCTTGTGACAATGTGATGAAGTGTTGTTCCTATTATCCCCATTTTATAGATGAGAAAACTAAGGCACAGCAATGTTAAGAGATTTAGTGAGAGACTAAAGCTAAATTACTTGACCAAGTGCACCCAAAGAGTAAAAGATAGAACTAAGATTAAAATAAGTACATAGCTGGGTTTTTTTGTTTTTGTTTTGTTTTTTTATCAGTGTACATTCTACTTAAAATGATCTCATATCCACCAGTGATAAGTTCACCTCACTCCGGGAAACTAAAAAAGTCCCTTCTATTGTAACGTAACAGTTCTTTTCTCCCACTTTTTCTTTGTGTCTCATTCAGATGTGGTCATGAAGCCATTTCTTTCTGTTTGGGCAAAAAACTGACTAGATTAGCTTGGCTCGACAGGCTCTCTTCTTCCCGTTACCTAAGTCTTGCTTTGGCCCAACACTGAACCAAGCTTCTAATGCACTGTTGACTAGGCCTAGGAGCTGGCCAGTTCCAGCTCAGGGCTCCCAACCTCAGCAACAGAGTATTCTCAGATGATCTGATTTCACATATGCGAGGGAGCCACATTAACTATAGCACAAGAGAGCTTTAAATAACCACCCTTTTCTCTCCAAACAGCTCAAACCCACAAATGAAACAGAACAGTTTCTGTGCATCCTGACTTGACTAGTCTTTCCCTGTGACTGTCTCTGGGCCTCAGCCAGGCTGGGCTATTTTCTCATTTCCATTCTCCCTACCCCTCTTTATATCTCTCAAGAAGCTAGTCTTTCTAATTTGTTTTCTGAGTCCTTGAACTGATTATCCTTCTCTTGGCTATAGGTTACATGTGGGTTTCTGGTTACCCATGAGCATCCACACATCCCTCTTTTCCAAGGTGGTCAGAAATATCTTTTGGGCTATGGCCCAGGGGAACTGGGCAGGGCAGTGTCCTGTGGACCTCAGGGTGACGTCACATCATCCATAGGACTGAAGTCTCGGTCATTAAACCAGTGATTCTGGAACTTACTCTCTGTCTCTTTTTTCCTCAGGGGGTGAAAAGTGTCCTGGAAAGGTAAGGAGCGGTTTCCTTTGTTAGAGGAAGAGGTGGCAGGAAGTGTAGTTACCTTCATAAAAGATTATTGAGTTAGAAAAACATGCACGGAAATTGTCCCGTCCTTCTTCCTATTCTCAAAGATCCAGTCCTCCATGAAATATTTTCTGGTCTCAGAAGGCTCATTAATGGGCATCTTAGTTGGTGAATTTCCCAAAGTAATTGGACTGTAACATCTTCACAAAGTGAAACCCCACCAAATGGAAATTCTGGGAAGTTCTGAGTCTGCAACCTGACAGGATTTCTTTTTAAAAAGTCTAGCCAGTTACAAACCTCCCAGAAGGAGCCATAGGTACGACCCACAGCATGGGCGAGACTCCTGAGGTTCCTTAGGACATGATGTAGTGTATATCAGCAGCCTGCCTGTAAAATGAAACAATGTGCTTGTGTGGGGACCTTGGGCTTGGAAAGAAGATGCAGACTATCCACATGTTGCAGAGGCCCGTGTGAACAGGAGGCCTGGATAGGAGTAAAATCCTGCCTCCTTTTGCCTCCCACCCCCAGGTACTATAATATAACATGTGTTTGTAAATTTGTGTTGAATGAAATGATCGGTCAACCACAAGAGAGGTTATAGCAGTAGGGTTCAAGGAGGGTGGGGTAGGAGTTGGAGACAGTGTGTCTAACTCTCTTTCCTCCAGGAGTGAGTCGTGGGACCTGGAAAAGCTAGACATTGTCTCCCCAGACCTGAAGACTGTGTGCCATGTGCCAGGGCTGAAGAGCATGCTGAGGACATGTGGAGGTGAGGCGAGTTCCAGGAGTGTAGGACTGGCCTGCTGAGCTGCAATGGCATAACAAGGGGGCAAGTAGGTCCAGGGATAGGGAGAGATGTCAGGTCAAAGTAGATGGGGCAGGAACAGAGCTAGGGAAAGTGGTTCCCTCAAATCTGGGCAAGGGCTACAGCTGCCTATGGGGTCATTTCCTCACTCAGTGAGGCTCAGCTTACACTGTCATCCCCCCACCACAGGTACATGCTTAGTGTCTCCCCACACACCCTCCCAGCCTGATTGTTGTCCTCTCTCCACAGTACACATCACTCTGGATCCACATACAGCCAATCCATGGCTCATCATTTCAGAGAATCAGAGACAAGTGAGGCTTGGAGACACCCAGCAGAAGGTACCTGAAAATGAGGAGAGATTTGATACTTATCCCATGGTCCTGGGTGCCCAGCACTTTGACTCTGGAAAATTTTACTGGGAAGTAGATGTGACAGGAAAGGAGGCCTGGGACCTGGGAGTTTGTAGAGACTCTGTGCAGAGGAAAGGACATTTTATACTCAGCCCCATGAATGGCTTCTGGACAATTTGGCTGTGGAAGAAACAAAATTATGAAGCTGGCACCTCCCCGCAGACTCCCCTCCATCTTTCAGTGCCTCCACACCAAATTGGGATCTTCCTGGACTATGAGGCCGGCACTGTCTCCTTCTACAACATCAGTGATCATGGCTCCCTCATCTACACCTTCTCTGAATGTGCCTTCACTGGACCCCTGCGACCTTTCTTCAATCCTGGTTTCAATGATGGCGGAAGAAACACAGCCCCTCTGATCCTCTGTCCTCTGAGGATGAGATAATAGGGATCCACTGACTGTTGATGGCTCTTTCTGGACACTGACACCTTTGTTGATATCCCTCCTCAGCCACTGACCCTGCCTTATTTTTCCCAGGAGCTCTGAACTACCTTTGTCTCTGCAGAGGTGTAGGGATACCGGCAAGACAAATTTGACAAGAAGATCACTGAACATCTATGTCAAGTGATCTTTAACATCAATATCCCTGCCCTGGATTGCTTATGATTCCCTCTGTGAAACAAACTACTTATACTTTGCCCAAAATCATCTGGATCAACCCAAACATGTCTCTGATTTCTTTATGTGACTCAAGTTTTGTTTTCTCCTCCCCATCTCTAGGCCTTTGCTTAGATCTCTATTTTATCTTACACCGTTTGCAAAAGGGCTTCCCAAGGAAATTGTGCCTCAATCTATCCCATTCAATCCTTGTTCTTTCACACATCTGGGATAATCTTTCCAATACACACACACATCTGATCATAGGTGGTTCCACATTTATTTCTTTTTCCATTTTTGTTTTTAATCCCCACTCGAGGATACTTTTCCATTTATCTTCAGATTGAGTAAGAGGGGGGAAGGGAGAAAGAGAGAGAGAGAGAAACATCGATGTGAGAGAGACACCACTTGGTTGCCTCCCACACAACCCAACCAAGGCCACCGCAACCCTTGGCCAGAATCGAACTCGTGACTCTGGTCCCCAGGCCGACCCTCTAACCACTCATCCAAACCAGCCAGGGCCACATATATTTCTTTTAAAAGCTGAATTACGCCCTGGCCAGTTTGGCTCAGCTGTTAGAGCGTCGGCCTGCGGTCCGGAGAGACCTGGGTTCGGTTCCCGCTAAGGGCACGTACTTCGGTTGCAGTTTGTCCCCGGCCCTGGTTGGTCGTGCGGGTGGCAGCCACTCGATGTGTCCCTTCACGTCGATGTTTCTCTCTCTCTCTCTCTTCCTCTCTCTCCCTCCCACTCTATCTGTACAAAAAATGGAAAAATATCCTCAGGTGAGGATAAAAAAAAAGCTGAATTACGCACACCTTAGATTGCCAAGTTAAATAGCCAGTCTGTCATGCGCCCCTATTCCCACTGTTATCTTCCAACCACATCTTGTTGGTAATGGACTTTGTTAAAAGGTGTATCAATCTAAATGGAAGGTGCAATGGTTTTTTGGTGTGACAACTTGGGTAGGTTGTAAACCTCGACCCCACCCCCATTTTTCTTTTATTTATTTATTTATTTATTTTTTTATGAATTTTTATTTATTTTTTTGTTACAGATATTTTACCTTCAAACACTAATCTAGATGTTGCTGTGAGGGAGTTTGGTAGTTGTCATTAAAGTCCATTTGACTTTGAGTAGGGGAGATTGTCCTAGATAAGCTGAGTGGGCCTAATTCAATCAGGTGAAGGGCTTTATGAGCAGAACAGAGCCTTCCCTGAAGATCTTCCATCTATGAAGAGCAGCTTAAGTTCGTGCCCAGGAGTTCTGGCTTGCCCTTCCCAATGGCCTGCTCTGCCAATTTAGAACTTGCCTTGCCGGCCCCCCTAACTAAGTAAGTGAATTCCTTGAAATAAGTCTCAATATTTATCTTTTACTAGTTCTGCTTCTCCAGTTGAACCCTGATTGGTATGAAGGTCAGCATTGGTATGAAGAAACAGCATCACCTGGTAGCAGCAAATACTTCCTTGAGTTGAATTTCTAAGGTTGGAGCAATGAAGTTCTACACCTGAGCAATGACAGGCTATGAGAGACCCGTTATCCTTCCAGGAAGCCTGATTATCTAAAATAGAATCTCAGGTGTACCCTCAGAACATCTGCTAAATATGTCATGAAAAATTCAGATACTGTCAAAAGTATTGGTGACATTGAAAAGAATTTATTCACACATACACACAAAGTTGTTTCTATTTTAACACTGGACAGAAAGGAGGTCCTTTGGAGAAAGGATAAAAAAGAACAGAATTCTCAGGCAAGATAACATTACAGGAGCTAAATCAATGTAAGTTGGCAAAATCAACCAGTGCCTTGGTTGAAAAACTAAAGGAAGAATGTGGAAGAGAACTCAGTCCTGTATGAATGGGGGTATGCTGGGGGATGGTTGGATTCTGTATGGCAGGATCATGGAGAAATACTTGTAAAAAGAAGGCTACCTTATATATCAGCTTTTCTGATTCTCTGTGTCTCTGCCTTGGAGGTTGACCCATGTTAAATGATGGCTTGTTTTTTTCAATTGATACACTGGTGGGAGGAGAGTACCATAATGATGTAAACTTAAATGTTCTCATTTCTCAAAATCTGAATACCTTGGCATATCGGGTTACCCTGATGTTTGGACAGGTACATCACACAGGGAACATATTACCATCTCCTTGGTCTCCACCAAAAGGAATTAAGTAGTAGAAATTTTACAGTATTTCTGCATTTATCCCCACCAATAATTACTAACAAGTGATCTAGGTACTCCACTGCATGTCACACAAAAATTCTCTTGAGAAATGAACAAAGATTCTACCAGCATCAATTTCAATTTTGATCAATATTATCCTTTAAAATTCAAATGAGACCTGTTGACTTTTCTGATCTCCTTTAATTCTATAATTTCCTTTTTAATTAGAAGAGGTAGAAATGTTACAAGAAAATTTTTAAAATAAACAAGTTAAGACAGAAGGAAGTTAAAATTTTTATCTACTGCTTACTCTGTATCATACATATTCAAGATCCTGTTTATACATTCTAGTTTTAGAGCTATCACAATTATATGACAAAGGTTTAATATAGAAATTTAAAGATTATGGTGCTCCTCCCTTTTTTATTTATGAAAACATATATTTCATTTAATATTTTCCATTTTTTCAGCTTTATTGTATAATTGAGAAATTAAAATTGTATATATTTAAGATGTACACTTAAATATGTATATTTTATTAAATTATTACCACAACCAAGCTAATTAACAAATTCATTGCATCATATAGTTACCTTTTGTTTATTTTAGTTTTTAATCTTTTATTAATTTATTTTTGTTACAGATGTTTCTTCTTTTTTTCCCCATTGATGCCCTCCTCCTCATCCTCCCCACCCCTTACCCAGCTTTGTTGTCCATGTCCATCGGTTATCCGTACATGCATATAAGTTCTGTGGTTTGTCTCTTCCCTCCCACCACCACCACCCCCTCTTCTGAGGGTTGTCAGTCTGTACCCTACTTCCACGTCTCTGGGTCTACTGTATTCCTCAAATTGTTATGTTCAATATATTCCACATATAAATGAGATCATGTGACATTTGTCTTTATGTGCTTCGCATGTTTCGATTAGGATAATACTTTCTAGGTCCCTCCATGTTGTTTCAAAGGATAAAAGATCTTTCTTTGTTACAGCTCCACAGTACTCCATTGTGTACATGTACCACATCTTTTTTAACCATTCATCTACTGATGGACACTTGGGCTGTTTCCAGATCTTAGCAATTGTAAATAGTTCTGCTATGAACATGGGGGTACATATCTTCTTTCTGATTGGTGTTTCAGGCTTCTTAGGGTATATTCCTAGAAGTGGGATCACTAGATCAAATAACAATTTAATTTTTAATTTTTTTATTTATTTTTTTTCTTTAATTTGTTTTTTATTGATTAATTTTTGTTACAGATGATTCTCCTTTTTTCCCCCCACTGATTCCCCCCTCCCCCTTCCCTCCCTGCCCCTTCCCCAGATTGTTGTCCATGTCCACTGTTCATGCATACATGCGTATAAGTTCTGTGGTTCATCCCTCCCCCACCTCCCCACTCCTTAGGGGATTGTCAGTCTGTACCCCGCTTCCGCGTCTCTGGGACTACCCCGTTCCTCAAACTATTATGTTCATTATATTCCACAAATAAGTGAGATCATATGAAATTTGTCTTTCTCTGTTTGGCTTGTTTCACTTAGGATGATACTTTCAAGATCCCTCCATGTAGTCTCAAAGGATAAGCGATCTTTCTTTCTTACCGCTGCGTAGTACTCCATTGTGTATATGTACCACAGCTTTTTGATCCATTCGTCTACTGATGGGCACTTGGGCTGTTTCCAGATCTTAGCAATTGTAAATAGTGCTGCTACAAAGATGGGGGTACATATATTCTTTCTGATTGGTGTTTTATTCTTCTTAGGGTGTATTCCTAGAAGTGGGATCACTGGGTCAAATGGAAGATCAATTTTTAATTTTTTGAGGTGACACCATATTGTTTTCCATAGTGGCTGCACCAGTCTGCATTCCCACCAGCAGTGTACTAGTATTTATTTATTTTTTGTTACAGATGTTTCTCCATTTTTCCCCACTGATTTCCTCCTCCCCCACCCTCCCCGCGCTGTTCCCAGCTTTGTAGTTCATGTCCATTGTCCATGCATACATGCATATAATTTCTGTGGTTTATCACTCCACTCCCCCCCCACAACCCCTCTTCAGGGTATTGGTAGTCTGTACCCCACTTCCACGTTTCTGGGACTACCCCATTCCTCAGACTGTTATGTTCATTATATTTCACAAATAAGTGAGATCATATGATACTTGTTCTTCTCTGTTTGGCTTGTTTCACTTAGGATGATACTTTCCAGTTCCCTCCATGTCGTCTCAAAGGATAAGAGATCTTTCTTCCTTATAGCTGTATAGTACTCCATTGTGTATATGTACCACTGCTTTTTTATCTATTCGTCTACTGATGGACACCTGGGCTGTTTCCAGATCTTAGCTATTGTAAATAGCATGCTACAAACATGGGGGGTATACATATTCTTTCTGATTTCTGTTTCAGGCTTCTTAGGGTATATTCCTAGAAGTGGGATCACTGGGTCAAATAAAAGTTCAATTTTTAATTTTTTGAGGTAACACCATATTGTTTTCATAGTGGTTGCTGTAGTCTGCATTCCCACCAGCAGTGTACTAGAGTCCCCTTTTCTCCACACCCTTGACAACACTTGTTGTTTGATGATGTGTGGATGGCGGCCATTCTGACAGGTGTGAGGTGATACCTCATTGTTGTTTTAATTTGCATCTCTCTGATGATTAGTGATGTTGAGCATTTCTTCATATGTCTCTTAGCCATTTCTATGCCCTGTTTGGAGAGGTGTCTATTTAGTTCCTCTGCCCAATTTTTCATTGGGTTCTTTGTCTTACTTTTGTTGAGTTGTGTGAGTACTTTATATATTTTGGAAATTAACCCTTTATCTGATGTATCATTGACAATTATGCTTTCTCATAGAGTGGGTTGCCCTTCCATTTTGGTGGTTGTTTTTTTGCTGTGCAGAAGCTTTGGG